CTGCAAAGGGGGTCAGCATCAATACTGATGTTATGTAAACATGAATGTTATTTATGGGAGATTGTTTTGTTAACTGTAAGACACAATAGTTGATAATATTTAATAATAGTTCCTACGAAGTCTTTGATAGGCAGGACTTGGCATTTCTGGTTTCCTAATCACTGTGGGCCATGCAAGTGTCCAGTCATGCCCATCCTGAGGTGTGCAGATAGAGACACCAGGCGAATTGTAAGGGAAATTTGCCATCTCGCTTTGAGTTGGCTATTGCCTGTGAACTTGACTTTGGTCTTTTCTGTATCTGGAAAATTTTTTTCTTCCATTAACTTAATAAAGCAGAGACACTCAAGCTGACACTGTCAGTTTATCAGGCGGTCATAGTGCTACTGGAAACAGCTAGTGACATTTCCCCTCCCCTATTCCCCGCTGGCAGCTGGACATCTCAGAACCTGGCAGAAGCCTGTGGATTTGTATGAGTAATTGTCATGTGCTTCCACCCATCCTCCAGCTCCCTTCATGTCACTTCCACTCATTGCTGCCACGTCTTTTGGATGATTTGAGTTTTTAAGGAAGACTGCTGTGTCTTGCTTCTAAGCGTGGGGAAGCCTCTCTTTGCACAGATTGGGGACAATGTAATTCCGGCCGATATGCTCACACAGGGGGCCCCTCCCAGTCATCCCACTGTGTCCTGCATGGTTTGTGCAACGGCCACTCTTCTTTCCTAACAGAACCCCAGTTTGTTCATGTACCCTCCATCCCCCCATGTAACCACATGTCTGTGGATAGCGGACCACACTCCCACCCCCAGCTCTAGAGTAGAGCTGATGGGAAAAGGGTATCCTTTCCCCCTGGCTGGCAGTTAGTTCCGTGTGGTCTCTGGGAAAGGCATCCTTACTCCTAAGAGATGTTGAAAGGTTTATGAGATGCTGAGAATGGTTCCTGCCAGCCTAATATTAAAGGCAACTGGGAGGATGACAGGGCAGAGATGTGAAAAGAATCTGGGTCCTTGGTGACACCGCCAAGCCACCGAATCAATCAATTCTGAGATCTGCATTCTTCCGGCCTTCCTGTTATGTGAGATAATAAAGTTCTTTATTGATTGAACAGGGGTTTCTGTTACTTGCAGCTAAAGCGTTCTAATACACTCAGCTGCTGGTCAGGAGATGAGCCTGGTCATTAGTCAGAGACGATGCAAACTTGACCTGCTAGGGGAGCCGCATATGAAGTTCCGCAAATAATCTGCGGAGCTTCTTAAACCAACAGCATTTTCACTCATCTCTTCCATTCTTAGCCACGTGGGTCAGGTGACACAGGTGGCAGTAGTTTGAAGACACAGTCTCCCAGTTTGTGGATTCTATTTTGTTGGGTGTTTGGATTCATTCTCTCTCTTTTTTTTTTGAGATGGAGTCGTGTTGTGTGACCCTCAGTAGAGTACTGTGGTGTCACAGCTCACAGCAACCTCAAACTCTTGGGCTTAAGCAATTCTCTTGTCTCGGTCTCCCAAGTAGCTGGGACTACAGGCACCCGCCACAATGCCTGGCTATTTTTTTGGTTGCAGTTGTCATTGTTGTTTAGCAGGCCTGGCAGGGCTCAAACCCACCAGCCTTGGTATATGTGGCTGGCGCCCTACTCACTGAGCTACAGGCGCCAAGCCTGGATTCATTCTTAACCATGGTTTGCTCTGTTTCCTCTAAGTGCCAAGATTCATTTGCTAACTTAACTGCTTGATTCATGTAGTTTTCCTTTCTTTTTTTTTGGTAGAAAAAATGTCCTTTAGTTACCTAGAACAAAGGGCATACCAGGGAACGAGATCTCTGTCAAGTGGGAAGACTTACTCCCTGGAAAAAGTTTTGGACCCCAAGAGTTTGTATCAATATAAAGGATTCTTTGGGCTGCCTTTATTAATCTCCCTCCAAGGAGCATACCGAGGGTATCATGTCCACGCTCCTACCCTCTATTCCGAGGGTATCATGTCCATTCTCCTACCCTCCATACCAAGGGTGTCATGCCCACTCTCCTAGGCAGGCCCTCTAACTGGTGATCTGGGAGCTGGAACAGTACTTTCCTCCCTCTCTGCCCCAGTGTACCGTCTGCCCAGAAGAGGAGGGAGTCCTGGGTAGCGCATTTGGCAAAATTGCTCGATTCTTCACACTGGTAGACAGACGATGATAAGCTACTGCATAGAAATCAGAAGAGAAGGGACAGATAGGGGAACTGAGGAACAAAACAAGTTGTAGCGGGATTAATTTCATACTTCCAACAGATCCACCGATAAAATGCAGTCAAGAACTCATATCAAGCACTTCCCACGTGCAAGTCTTTGTGGGAGGAGCATAGAGATACCTTCCCTGTCTTTGGGAGCAGGGGGGATTTCATAGCCTAGTTGAAAGATGATGTAGAGAAGAATTGAGAGGATAATTAGTGGGACCACACTTACAGTGCATCTTACAAGGGTACATGTGAAACTTACTAAATGTAGACTATAAATGTCTTAACACAATAACTAAGAAAATGCCGTGAAGGCTATGTTAACCAGTTTGATGAAAATATTTCAAATTGTATATAAAACCAGCACATTGTACCCCATGACTGCATTAATTTACACAGCTATGATTTAATAAAATAAAAAGAAAAAATTTACTTTTAACTATAAAACTAGTTGAATAGAAGATGCAAATAATTGTTTTGGACAATAACAGAAGAGCTATAACGGAAAGATAGGTCATTAATTTCTCAAATGGACTTTATAAATAATCATCTTAAAGAGAAAGGAAATTTGGGGCTATGAAGCTGGTCACTAAATAGCAGGCCACCAAAGCAAGAGCTCGGTCTTCTCTCCTTTCCTCATTGAGTGGTTGAGCCGAGTTGGAAACTGGTATGCATTTCTATTACAGAACTCCTTACAGAGCCCTCTATATCACGAACTGGTAAACGAGATATAAAACATAGTCTCTAAATCTAAAAATGTGGTGAATTAGAGATGTGGAATTCAAAACCGAATGTGAAAAACATTTGAACACAAGTACTAGGTAGAATTCTGAAGCCTAAGCCAAGAAGTCAGACTCTCCCAGTATCTTATTTTAAGTAAACTCGGACAGAGAGGAGAAAGCGTTGGACTTGGAATGGGCATGTCCACACTGTTCTCAGCCCTGAGTCTGAGGGAATATTAAATAACTTGCTAGAATCACAGAACTATTCAATAGAATAAGAGCTGAGCTCCAAACTCAAGTCTGTCTGATTCCCAAGGCCATTTCCTTTCCACTATATTATTGCACCAAGAGCAAGTAGATGTGTTGTAATGAAAAACCATAATCTGGGTAGTTTAGAAACAACAGAAATTTATTTTTCATCCTTCTGGAGGCTGGGAAATCCACAACCAATCGGATTTGGTGTCTGGTGAGAGACCATTTTCTGGCTCATAAAAGACGCCTCCTTGCTGTGCCCTTACCAGGCAGCAGGGGTGAATGAACCCTCTGGGGTCTCTTTGTAAGAGTACTAATCCCATTTTGAGGGCTCCACCTTTGTGAACTAATCACTTCTCCAAAGGTCCCACCTCCCAACCCCATCAGTTTGGGGATTAGGACTTTGATATATCAAGTTTGGAGGGATACAGACATTCGGATCATAGCTTGGAAAAAAATCAAATGAGAGGGAGTGATAAACAAAACATAACTCTGAGCATCTTGGGGGTGGGCGTGTGTGAAAATTGTTCCCCACAGGCAGCAGGAAAGGTCCCCAGTACCCAGACTCTAGGTCCTAGAGGCTGTTTTGAAGGAGAGTAACAGGAACCCCTTCCCTGTGGTTCCCTTAATTTCGCTGGGCTTTTGTTTGCTCTTCTGAAAGATTCCAGGTGGGTGCTGGGTGGGAGGCTAGAACTTGGAACCATAACGTCCCTGTCAGCTCTGATAGTCCACAGACCTTGCAGCATATTTGTTTCTTGATTATTTTTAAGCTTGATGGGGCAAACCATGGCCCTCGGGTAGATTCCAATGTACATGTAGCAGTGCCACTCGTGCGACAGCCCTGCCTTTCATTCCAGGCGGGAGAGAGAAGAGGGAACAAGTTCTACCACCTGGGTGGGGGCCATGAACTTCACTCCTAGTCTGACCCTACAGAGAATTGTCCCCATTTCTTCTCTAGTCTCCTGCTAAGGTCCTGGGGAGCAGAGTGAGATCATGTCTGAAAAGTGAATGGAACATCTTGGAGCAAAAAGCTATAACTCCAAGGCCTACCAGTGCCATTAGCTGTCTCTAGTTTCTAATCCCGATCCAAGGACCAGATTGAGTTTATCTTTTAAAAGAACTGGTCAGCTCTTGAATCAAAGAGCTGACTCCTCTTATTCTCCTCTTCTGGGTTTTCAAATGGTGATGAGAGCCCCTAATGCCATGGCAACGGGAGCTGGGGAAAACCTAACCCAGAAATGTGGGGTAGGAAAGAGACCAGGGAGCTGGCAGCATCCCAGGGACGAGAGAATCGTCCTCCTGAAGGCTTGCCTCATCTTGACACTGCTTACTCCAGCTAGGATTTTAAGGAGTGGAAATGTGGGCTCTGCCGCTCCGCTACCTGTTGGCTGTGTGACAGCTGGCAAACTACTCACCCTCTCTGAGCCTGTGTTGCAGGCTTGTCATATCGTTTATGTCAGAGAATGAATATGTGGGAGGGCTTGGCAGGAGTTAGATGCTCAACAAAGAAAAGTCATTCCGGCCTGTTTTTTTTTCTTTTGAGACAGAGCCTCAGGCTGTTGCTCTGGGTAGAGTGCTGTGGCATCACAGCTCATAGCAACCTCCAACTGCTGGGCTCAAGTGAGTCTCCTGCCTCTGCCTCCCAGGTAGCTGGGATTACAGGCCCCCACCACAATGCCCAGCTATTTTTTAGTTGCAGCCGTCATTGTTGTTTGGTGGGCCCGGGCTGGATTTGAACCCCGCCAACTTAGTTGTATGTGGCTGGTGCCTTAGCCGCTTGAGCCATAGGCGCCGAGCCTGTTTTTTTTTCTTTGTTTTAAACATCAGATGGGTTATGTGCTGACGTTTGTAACAGGGTTTGAGGGAGGCACATCTCACTCGATGGTGTGAAACTCGGTCACCATGCTTTTGAACCACAGAAGGACCTGGCTGGTTGTAAGCGTTGGGTTTCTTATCTCTTGCTCCAAGTTTGCCACTGGCGGCCTCTGATGATGAGATGTGTCCCTTGGGGAGAGAGTGAGTGAGAACGGATGTCCATCTGTCAGAATCACTCAGATCTGGGAAGATCCAGGGAAAATCTGCCTGAAATGTTCCTCGCATATGTGGTTCCTCTCTGCTTAAGATGTGATGATGATGGAGGGAAGAGGAAATCGATAAGCTGAAAACCAGAAAGGAGAAAACCTGGATTCTTACGGCTCCCAGAGAGACCCTGAGCCAGTCACATCCACTCAGTGGCTTCGGACTTCTGTCCTATGAGTTTAAAAAGGCTCAAAGTTCTTTTTATTTTTTTTTTATTTTTTTATTTTTTTTTTTTTTGAGACAGAGCCTCAAGCTGTCCCCCTGGGTAGAGTGCCATGGCATTACAGCTCATAGCAACCTCCAACTCCTGGGCTCAAGCGAGTCTCCTGCCTTCGCCTCCCAAGTAGCTGGGACTACAGGTGCCCGCCACAACGCCTGGCTATTTTTTGGTTGCAGCCATCATTGTTGTTTGGCGGGTCCGGGCTGGGGATTCGAACCCGCCACCTTAGGTGTACGTGGCTGGCGCCTTAGCCGGTTGAGCTATAGGCGCCGAGCCTCAAAGTTCTTTTTAAAGAGCACATATTCAAGTTTGGGCAAGGTTTCCTCTGCAAAGTATCTTTCTACTCAGCTCCCTGTGGACCGAAATCACACAGCAGGGCCGCCTTCTCTGGAGTCATCCAGAGGGGTTTTGTGCACTGGGCCAATGTGATCTGTGGATGAATCACCAAGGCCATCATGCCCGGGGGAGGCTGGGACAGTGGACACCTGTGCGTGGGTGAGGGGAGGGGAGAATAGGGAAAGCCACGGCTGTGCGGCCTCTGTACAGCTTCTACCTTCTTATATTTTGCCAAAGGCCGAGGCATTGGTCACCTACCAACAAAGTCTCCGTGCACCGGGAGAAAATGAGAGGACTCAGAAGCTCACCGTGTACCCTTGGGAAGGCTGCTCCATCTCACGGGGTTCCAAAGTCTGCGTCTGTAAATTAAGAGCGCTGGACTCTTTCTGCTCTAAAACTCTGATGATGTGTCCATGTGGGAGGATGCTGCCCAGGACTTCAGAGTACCGGGGGCAGTAGCCAGGAGCTCTGGGATGCAGCCTTTTAGAATCTGCTTAGAGGGAAGGCCATGGTCATGGCTGAACCCAGGTTCCCTGTGTCTCTTCTGTAAGCCGTGGATGAGAGAAAGGGCTGAGGAAGGACTCCTACAGGAAGTGATGGTGGTATAGAGACTGGAACCCTCTCACTTCTGTGTGTAGCATTATTTTATTATTTCAAAAAATGTGTATTGCCCATCTATGGCGTATCCATACTATGCACTTAGTCACGGCATACACAACACACATGTAAAGCACATGCTCTAGTTCAGGAGACAATGAAATAAATGGAAAACTCCTGTGTTAATAGCATTTTATTACGTGATAAGGACTATGGGAGACACAGATTCAGGGTTGTTTTTTTTTTTAATTTTAATTTTTACATATACACATGTTTATTAGGTTTCCACTATTTGCCTTCACAAAATTAAAAAGGCTTAAAATTTAACAACAATAACAATATTTAACATAAGGACTAGAAACGAAAACCTTGTAAAGAATGAATGAGGATAAATACATTCAGAAAAGAAATCAGACGATTGCTGCAACGAAGTATTAAGCAATAATAATAATAGTAATGCAAAGAAAGTCGCATTGTCAAATAAGAGTATGTCTATTATAGAATGCTTTGACTCTGAGCAGATTCAGGGTTTTGACTGGGTTTTAAAAATTTTTTTTTGAGACAGAGCCTCAAGCTGTTGCTCTGGGTAGAATGCTGTGGCATCACAGCTCACAGCAACCTCCAACTCCTGGACTTAAGTAATTCTCTTGCCTCAGCCCCCCATGTAGCTGGAACTACAGGCGCCTGCCACAATGCCCAGCTATATTTTGGTTGTGGTTGTCATTGTTGTTTGGCAGGCCCAGGCCGGATTCGAACCCACGAGCTCTGGTATGTGGCTGGCACTTTAGCCACTTGAGCTACAGGCTCTGAGCCTGACTGGGGTTTTAATGGTGGGTGGTGGTAGTTGTAAATAAAATAGATGACTTTCAAACAAGATAAGAAAGACCTTGGCTGGCCGAGGGGAGAACACAGGCCTTGTTTAGAATATAACTGCACGTTAATATCCACAAAGTGCCGTTTAATGATGCTATTCATTAGTGCCACTTGTTTGTTAATAATTAATAAATGAATCATCATCTGTTCATTTGTTCCCCTTTTTTTAAGGCTTAAAGAGGGAAAAGTTAAGAAGCCAAGGAGACACAAAATTTGCACAAAGTATCCCTTTTCTTATGGATCGTCCTGTGTCTGCTCTGATTTCTTCCACGGTCATCTGAGATTTTTCCAGGGCTGTTCTATCCCCTCCAGCTCCTCTCTGGTGCTCCCGTTTCAGTCCGATGCCGGCTAGCAGAGTGGACCCGCCAAGGCCTGCAGCCGTCAGCTCGTGGGCTGAGGTGCGGGGATGTAGGGGGTGCCGTGTGTCTTGGATAGCCCCAGGGTTGGGTCGTTGGGGACAGGAGGAGGGAGGAGGCGGGAGGCGGGAGGCTCAGGTCCCCTTCCTGACTGGGCAACCTAGGGGACAGTCACCCAACAGCAGGCTTCAGCGTCCTCCTTATTAGAAATAAGGGGGTCGTAATGTTAACCATGATACCAGCTCAGGGTTGTTGTGAGAGTTGAGGAATAATAAGAATAAAAAGTATTCCAAGTTTTGGAAAAAAATGCCATAATAGAACTGGATGCAGGGCAGGAAGTCCTGTGCTCGTTTCAGAGGGCTAGATAGGAAGAGACGCGCCCTGCGGCCTCAGAGACATTGTGTTTCCATAGCAGAGAGACAGACGTGCTGTTCCTGCACCTCCGTGCTTTGCAGACCGTGGGCCAACCCGCCAACCCCTTCTCTGCCCTGGGCCGGAGTAATGTACATGTAACTGACTGGGATAGACTAAGCTTCCTGTTAATGATTGGACGGAAAAGATACAGTCCAAGGACATGTGTTCATGTGGGGCGGGGGCTTTTGTTTCACATATGCGATCTGGTGACCCGACAGGCCAGGTAGCCCCCAGGATGCTGGGCCTGGTGCACAAGGTGGAGGCGCAGGGGGCGGGGCCAGGATATCTGGGGCGTGGTCAGGATGCCAGGGGCGTGGCAGGCGGCTGAGGGCGGGGCCAGGATGCGGGGGCAAGGCCTGGATGTCCCGGTGTTGTCGTGATGCTCTGTGAGGCATACGCTTCCCCCTTGAAAGGCCTTTCTCGTTAATGATCTTTATAGGTATTGCCATTCCTTCAGCCCCTTATTTGGTGAATAAGGTGCATTTTTTAAAACATTGTATTGACCAGAACAATTTTATTCAAGCGTGCCAGTCATTATCTTTGTTTGTGAGCCGTCTATGCTTTGTACCCATTTTCTATTGCTTTATTTATATTTTGCATTGATCTGTTGGGGCCCTTATCACCTTGTGAATAATACCCCTTTATTGGCTTGCTGTCAGTAGCTTTTCCAGTTGGTGGTTTGTCTCAATTTTGTTTATAGTATTTTTTACAACTTTATTGGGGGTATAATCAGTGTACAATAACCACACATATTATGTTTCACTGTATGAGTTTTGGAATATGTATACACTATGAAACCATCATCACGATCAGAATAACACATATTTTCATCTTCCTCCCTTTCTCTACCCTTATCCTCAGGCAAGCACCCATCTCCTTTCTGCTACTACAAATTAGTTTACATTTTCCAGAATTTTAAATAAAAGAATTGTAAAGGATGTATCCTTTTTTCTCCTGCTTCTTTCACTCAGCCTAATAATATTTTGTGGTTGTTGCGTGTATCAATAGTGTGTCCTTTGTTGCTGAGCAGAATTCCCTTGTATGAATATGCCACAGTTTGTCTGCCCATTCACCTACTGATGGACATTTGGGTTGTCCTCAGTTTGTGGCTGTTAAAAATTGAGCTTTACGAAATGGAGCGTCTTCGAAGACTTGTGTGTAAGTCTTTGGATGTCAAGTAGGATTTTGGCATGTAGAGAGGAAAGCATATTGCAAGGAGAGGGAGTTCGTGGCCTCAGAGAGGTAAAGACCAGGATATGGACAGGAGACAGTATGGCAGCGGGCTGGGGAGCTGGGATATTGGGTATTCATTTGCAAAGCAAAGCAAGAAGAGAGAGCAGGTTAGATCCGATCTCACAGGGCTTTGGGGTTATGCTTAGGACTTGGGGTTTTTTGTTTTTGTTTTATGATATGTAATAGTGAGCCATGACATTTTTCTTTTCTAAGGTGGCAAAGAACTATAAAATCCCAACTTTGGCTTGATGCCTGTAGCACAGTGGTTATGGCACCAGACACATACACTGAGGCTGCTGGGTTCAAACCCAGCCCAGGCCAGTTAAACAACAATGACATCTGCAACAAAAAATATATGGGTGTTGTGGCAGGTGCCTGTAGTCCCAGCTACTTGAGAGGCTGAGGCAAGGGAATTGCTTAAGCTCAAGAGTTGGAGGTTGCTGTGAGCTGGGACACTACAGCACTCTACTGAGGGTAACAACGTGAGACTCTGTCTCAAAAAAAAAGAACCCCAACCTTGTTCACATTAGTATCCCTTCAATCCATATTTACTGAATAGCTAAACTAAATGACCAGTTTGCTTTTGACATTTGCACTGGGAAACATTCACGCAAGCTTGAAGCTAGGAGCTGCCAGTGGCAGAGTTCAAGGTGCTGGGGAGAGGAAGCTCCTCTCTTCCCCATTTGCAAAATTTTGCCCATCATGAACCTGGACTAGTGTGCGCGGCCCCCTCCCCCAGGTATCCCTAATACAGTGGAGTGTATGCATTCCAACAGAATTCATTTGTAAGGTGCAAAAAATAGATTTCTGGTAGGTA